ATGAAAAAGCAGGAACCTTTGCACAAGATACTTGAACAGAGATATGAACAAGACACAGATAGTTTCCAATAAAAACACACAGTCTTTATTGCTTTCCTCGCAAGACACAACAACTGATACACGAAACAGCTGTTGCAACAGATAGATTACTCAAACACTTCTATTAAAACAGTACCTACAACCTATTCTACCCAGAGTTACGCGACGTCACACACACCGTGATTCGCTCCTGAACGTGTTCCTAATCTACCCAATGTAACGTAACAACAATTACGAAACCTATCTCTTTCACTCAACACAACAGATCAAATGACTCTCATTGTTTCTGAGTTCTTCAAAGACCTATTTCGGAAGAACTAGTCGGCATATAAACTATCCCCTCTCCTTATAGTAGTAGCAACCAGCAACTCCTATAGCCCTAAAAGCAGCTCCCCCTTAATCCGAAAGGGCAACAGAAATGTTCTTGTTGATGTCAGACCATCAGTCCCATCAACCTTTGATCAACAGTAAGTAATCCCACTTGCACCTTGACTTTGTGCACTTGTGTCAGACCTCCTTGTTTACCGAACCCGACTTTCCGTGTACGCTTCTTGGTAGTGCGGTTCCCAACTCGAGGTGCAACCTGGCGTGCCTAGTCACAAAAAGACTTTTCTCCTTAGTTTGCTGATAATTCCTTCCAGCTAATGTGTAGCACATAAATTCTTCACTGCTTCACTGATCCTGGCTCTTCAGCTGATTCTTCTACACTAACACAAGTTGTCTAGATACAAGGATCATTCACATTTTTCTCATTTGGCCAAAAATCAAATAATAAAGGCTAAATCAATCAAACCGTTAATTGATTGATATTTATTTTGATTTATTAGTTTCTTGCTTAAACATTCTATGGCATTATTACTAGTTGATCACGAGCCTACATAAAGCTCTTCTCATTTATCTTTGTAAAGGACCTTTGAATTGAATTAAAACCGAGTATACTCTTTAAGCTTCTTGTTTGATTCTCTTTGTTTTGCTAAGTATTTTTGGTGGATTGCATTGCTTAGAAAATATCTTGAATCTCTGTCTTTGTGTGGATTCACAAAGGCATTCCGCACCTTTGCGTGGCGAACTTTGATCCATCAAAACTTGTCAACTCTTGACATCTTGTGATCAATAAGATTTGGTGTGATTCCAATCTTATATCAGCAAGTCTTCATCAATTGACCTTGGCTCTTTATACACTTGCTGGAGTTGTTCAAGATGTGCTAAGGCCAAGTCAAAATTGAAATGTAAGGCAAAGGTTAAGACTCTTCCCTCTGTTAAGTCGTCTACATCAGACTGAAAAAGGAAAGTGCTCCATTCCCCATGTGATTCTAGTGTATTTGTTTTTAACTTGTGTGCTCACAAGAAGGGGGAAATGATGTCTTGATTTGTGGGGAAGTGTGTCTGGATCATGGTTCTTTGTGATTTGTTAATTTGATTTGCTGATTCGGATCACTAGTTATAGGATTTTTGGGGAGTTTGGAGATGATGTTATACGTTTGGTTCTTGGATTTTGAGAACTCCATAACTCTATAGTTTCAGTTAAGATTATGTGTTGTTTTTTTTTAGTTTGTTCAAGATTATTTACTCTTGTCTGCAATCTTCTTTGTGGTTGGTTGCTTGTGTTGGTATGTGTATTTGTTGCAGGTGCTTGTGAGACACACAAAGCTAAAAAGGGAGAGATTGAAGCAGTTCCTGAAACAGTTACGAAGTGATGCAAGCATATGAAGTCAAGTTTCAAGAGACATGGGTTTAAGGAGATGGACTGAACTTGACGTGTCCTGTAGACTTAGACGAGCCAAAGATGTGTAGCTGAGCTGGTGGAGTTGCTTAGAGAGGATCAAAGAGCATGAAGATTTTATTATATATTGGCTAAGATTAAGGAAATGAGGATATTCTTAAAAGATGCGATATCTTCCAAACTTGAAGACCAAGGTTAGGGTTAGCCGTTTATTCCTGTGTATAAATAGGAGTGTAAAAACGTGGAGAGACGTTTAACACAATTAGAGAGCATATTTCTTAACAAAGGGGGTTTAGGGTTGTTATTGTAAGAGATCCTGATCAAATGGGCTAAGAAGTAGTGAGAGGTTCACAAGATCATGTGTTTATTTGTGAACATGTGTGGCTAAGACTGAAGTTAGTGAGTGAAACTTGTAAGTGCAGTTATCGTTTGATCTAGTAAAACGTAATGAAAAGGAACCTCGTGTGTATTGTGTTCGTTTCCTATACTACCTGTAGTACTCTCTGTTACAACAGCTCTCACACTTTCAGGGAGCTATAATTTCCTTTTGATGGATTGCATTTCTCTTGACACTCTTTCCACAAATATTACATTGGGCATTAGACCGCTACAGGATAAGACAGAACTAAGCATCACTCTTCCTCTCAGAAACCTTGTTCTTCCTCCAGTCATATTACCAATTATGACTTAAACGTCAGAGAATCTTCGAAACANACCGCTTCATCTATTCTAAAAATTGTCTTGACCACATACCAGAACCCAAGAAGAAAAGCCCACATGAAATACATGACTTTCCCAATACCTATTAAACTCTCTAATAATTCTATTGTTTCTTGCCTTTTTTAGTAGAATTGTGAGGACCAATTAAAAAAATATATATGTGTTTTCTACAACATTTTAGATGCAACATACTGAAAACATGAAAAAACGAGACGCTTGAACTGCATGCAAAATGGAGACGAAATTTCAAAATAAATAGTACTACTTACAAAATGAAAATTCCGAAAGCCGACTGGACATAACACATCAATATATTATTCGACAATGACTATCATACAAAATATCACACATTATAATTCAAAGTCTTCAGAAACGTATTGGATCCACGAGCAAGGTAACTATATACTCCTTGAGTTTTCCTTCACTACAATTGTATATGTCATCGCTGTGGCTGTCGAGGACATGCAACAACCGTCCAAAATTGTGGGCTTGCTTGAGAACTAGATGTGGCACAGCGGTTGTCTTCAATAGCTCCTCATTTACAGTCTTATTAGTGTCTACAATCATTTTTTGACACTCTAGAATAGCTTCTTCTTTAGTAACTAAAAATTGCTTCATATAATAGTTGATCGCATTTGCAGCAAACCCATTACTCATGTCATTCTGACAATACCAAATGCAGGAGTTAGAAGACAAATCACAACCCTCCGAAGGATTAAAAATGAGAAAATGAAAAGAAAAACTTGAACAAAAGTGAATATCCCTACATGCGAATAGGTTTTTTTTTTCACCTCGAAATCAGTCATATCGTCCATTAGACGACCCTTTGCAGCTAGAGATTTGATTAGTTTCGGTCTGGATATTACCCACTCGTATGCCTCCTTTACGACGGTTTCTCCCATTCCGACAAAAGAATACATTAGTGTTGCATAACTAGTAAGTGCTACTCCACCAACTTCCACATATTCCTCGAAGCAAGGCATCTGGTTTCCTCGTGCCCATTTGATAAGATCAAGGTTCGCCCTCACGAGGATTTTGAGCTGCTTACTCAAAAATATAAGCATATTGTTACAAGATACGTACATTTATCTATATACTAGACTTCATACTAATCACCTCTTCTAACATTTCCTTTAGACCTTACTTCTCTTTCGATATCGTCGAAAACATCCAACGTAAGTTGGAAAACCAATCGCGACATTTCTTCGAGTGTGTCAACCTCATCAGGACTCCATCTACACATATTTATATTGGAT